GAGATGAGTGTAGAAATCTTGCAGTGGGATCTTAGACTAATACATCAAAGTTTATTAAATTTGTTTCCCATTGAAAATCTGAAAGCGGTAGAAATTCACTCATTCCTGCACCGTATAAATTATTTACATCAAAGTACATAATATATGATTCTTCAAGATTTTTGTTAAAATCTGTTTCCATAAATCTGTTATTTGCTTTTGCATATCTGTTTGAACATTGAGAAACTCCACCCCTGATGCCCTTTTCCAAAAAAAGCACCATATCTATATCAGTTAATAATTCTAATTCTATTTTTGTTAATTTGAACATTGCATCAAATGCAAGCCCAGGTGCAGTATAATAATGTAAAGGGTCTAAATTATAAGCAGATAAACAAGTTTTTCGAAAATTTTCAAATATGTCAGCTAAAAGTAAGACATCTGTTTTTAAATACAAGTCTGAATAATCACCCAAACTTTTTAAATTAAAGGTGGTCCAAACTTTACAAGCATGTAGATAATCATCTTCTGAAATATATGAATCATTTAATTTAGAATAAAATGATTCTTTTTGTGGTAATTGATTTTCCTGTAATTTTTCCCAATTATTAATATATTCGTATGGGAAAACACCTTTTCTTGTTAATAAATTAAATTCATTAATATTGTTACAATATTTTTCTGTGATTTTCTTTTCATCATTTTTAAGAAAATTTGCCAATTTATCCAAACTACTGGGCATAAATCTGAAAGAATCTAAAAATCTAAAGCACACATTTTTTCCATCTACATATTTGGTAAAAGATATATATTTTTCTTTATTTATAGGTAAAAGCTTAACATAACCTTTGAAACTCGTACATAATTCTTTTATAAAAAAATGAGCATCATACCCTGATAAATTGTGAAAAATTACTGGAATTACATGCGAACTTTTGTAATTTATATTACATCCCTGATGGGCAGCACCCCTGTATTTTCCTGTGAAATGATTGTGATCTCGACATCTAATATCATTAATTTCAAATGATTTTTCGCAAATGTAACAATTTTCCGAAGTATGAAATTCTAATTCTTGTTGAAAAGTTAAAGGTTCCATTGGAACTATTTTTTTTAGATAAAAGTCAACAGAATTTGCGATATCTTTCAATTTATTCATAAACCAGGTAATGCAATCATTTCCTCTGTAACTTTCAAATATTGAAATTGTGTCATCAAACTCACATTTTAAATAGAATGCAACACTATGTGAAACATGTTTATTATATGCACCTGAAACTATTTTATTATCATTAATAGGTTCTAAAATGCTTTCAGTGTCAGCATACACAACAAATGGAACTTTTTCTTTAAATCTAAAATTTTTAAATTTTAAAATGTTGTCGTTTTCATTTGGTAAAATTACTCTACATGTGTTTAATTTGGTACAATCAATTTTATGCCTTTCTAGTGAATATTCATATTTAAAATGACATAAGCATCTATCACAAATCCAAATTTGACATTTACTTTTTGTCATTTGTGATTTAACCAACCGTGACAAGTTACGAATCCATGTAAAATGATAAAAATTTGTCCCATTTTCATCACTATTATCAAAAACAGCATCTAAATTATTAATCATCAATAAGTGAATAGTCGGTTTTTCAGAAAACTGTTTACTTATATATAAAGGAACTATTTCTTGTTTGTTGCTTTTAATACTATCCAATCCATAAATGTTTATTCTTAAACTATTCATTTTTTCAAATTTTGGTATATCTGACAAAGCAATAGGAAAATTAATGCCTTCGTATTTTAATAAACCTTTAAAATCAGGATAAGAACTGGTAAGGTTTGAATTATTGTCAACAGGATATAAAGCTGATATTATTGACCAAAGAAAGCAAAAATTATCTCTATTTTTAATATTAACAACAGCTTTCTTATTTCTTATAAATTTTGGTAATTCTGTAAAAGTACTGAATCCACCTTGTAAAGGTGCATATCTGTTAATATTTACTATTAAATTTATAATTTCTTTCAAAGACCACCCTGATTCTTTTGCATTAAAATCTTCAACTTTTTGTGAAATATATTCAATTGTATTATCAAAGAACAATTCAATGTCTGAAGAATGAAGAATAATTTCATTTTTTGTGTTAAAAAGTTTTTTTTCTTCAATAATTTCACCATCGCTCGCGGTTGTAAAATTAGCTGTAAATATAAAATTTACTTTCAAGCCATTGTTTTTTTTCAATGCATTTTTTAAACGATATTTAATTAAAGATCGTGAATCCTCTAAAAATTCAAATAAATCTTTATGTTTTAAATTAATAATAACTCCCGTTCTCACTCTTTTTTCAAACGCTGATTCTAAGTCTTCCCATTTAATTCTGGTAGATTTTTTATTTTTATTTATTTCAATACCTTTACCTTCTTTTTTTATTTGCTTTAATTTTTGATTTAATGTTTTCAAAATTCCTAGAGTGGCTATTATCTTATTTTTATCACCTACTGTTAGGTCCTTCTTTACTCTTAAAAGTTTATTTAAAACAAGAATATTTTGTGAACCCAGTTTTATCCACTTTTCAATTTCATTTAAAAATTTGTTATTATTTTGAATTGTATTTACAGTCTCCAGAGCACTTTCCATAATTTTAATCATTTTTTGGCAATTAGAATTCATCTTTTTTAAATAAAACAAGAGACACTTGTAACTATTAACAACCACTTTTTAAATGGTAATGTATTATACAATCTCATACAGAGCTTCGATGAAAAATGACTGCAAAGAACAATAAACAATTTCTTTTTATACTGCCCTTCACGTTGCTGATAAAAAAATAGTTGCCTGGAAAAATTTATTGTTAAAAATATATATATCACATACCTTTCTTTGCATCAATAAATTCCATTACCGTCTTCAAATTTTACACCGCACATAACGCCACGCGGCATTTCAAATTTCAAACCATGCGACAGGCTTCTCATAGTCTGATAAGAAAAAAATAAACATGTGGCACGCGATATATTGAAAACAAGTTCCATATGACATACGCTACCGGCATATACATTACATTATATGTATATATATAATGTATTATTACAAGACAAAACATTTGTCTTATAATCAATTAAAAATGATACATTTACTGCAAATTGACCTAACATTTTATCTTTTACATTGCATATTTCTTATAATAAATGCACTCATATTATGCATATTCAACACTGTTTTATCTATCCTCTTTAAATCGGATGCACTCTGATCGCAAGAAAAATTCCATAGAAAGTTTTAAATGACAAAATGCTAAAATAAAAAAAACATTCAACATTCCTAACTTAAATAATATTGCGCAATCAAAGATATGTAAGGGGGCTTCTGGATATAGCTAAAGTCAACGCTTTATCCAGAAGCCCCCTTACATATCTACTCATTCATATAGATAGTAAAAAGGGGAGATCCAAAAGTGGAGCTTTGTGGAACACCTCGTACAGGTATGAATTTTTTTGAGCAATGTTCTCCAACCACAACTCGGTGTTGTCTATTGTTAAGGTAATTTAAAAGAAAAGATTGTAGACTAGGAGAGATATCTGTATTATTTAATTTGTCTGCAATAATCGAGTGATCGATAGTCGAAAGTCTTGGCAATATTAGTATATACAACGTCCACCTGGAAACCTTTTTGTAGGGCACAGTTGACAAAATGAAGAAAGAAACACGATTCGTTATTGGAGATTTCTTCTTTATGCAACCATGTTGCTCCTCCACAACAAATGAGGCGAGAGAATTGTTTAATTGATTCTTGATAGAGAACTCAAAAAATTTTGCAAAGTTAGAAATTATTGCTATAGGACGGTAGTTCATCACATCATTATTATCACCGCTTTTGTGTACAAGAACAACTTTAGTCTCCTTCCATTTATCCGAGAAAATGCCTGTTTTAATAGCTAACCCTGGCGGGTTGTGAAAACCGAATCGCAACCGAATTCGGTTGGGATTCAGTTGGGTTTCAGTTACCAGTGAAAAAAGTAGCGAAAAACGTGAAAATTGCTGGAAAAAACTATTGGAATGAATAAATGAATGATTTATGAGTTTATTCATGCAATAGTTTGTTTAAATTAAGCTTTAGTTAATTAATTATTAATAATAAAAGTCGAAAGGTGCTCACCTGTCACTTTAATGTTTGTGTTATAAGATAGAATGCTACTTTATCGTTAGTGAAATTGCCGCGCGCCAAACACGATAGATGGCAGCACGTGATTCTTCTCTTTTGACAATTTTATCATTTTTAAAAATTAGAATGCAAAATTTTGTTTTACCTTTTCTATTTTCAGTTATTATTAAATTAATCGAGATTAGATTTTATAAAAATTGTTATTATTATTAAAAAAAGGTTTTTTAAATTGTTCAAATAAAAATGCATTTACTTATATTGCAAAACAAACTTAGTATATTTATACCAATGGTAAAATAGAAATTGATAAAAAAATTTTATTAAAAAAATCACTTTTATATTAATGATAATAATTATTATTTTTATCATTATATTTTTCTAAATAAAAATTTCTTGAATATTTAAATGACAAATAATTGTAGGAAACAGTGGAAAGAAAATTGTTTAAAATTTCTGAATCTAACATTTGTTAAAAAATAATTGTTGAAATGTTATTATTTAGAATTGTAATAATTTTAAATTGAATTTAGTTTAATTAAAATTATTTTAATTTTTTTCGAAAAATTTTATTAAAATTAAAAATATTTCTTAAAATAAAAATTTGCATGCTTTTTTCACATTTTCTGTGTGAGATTTCAAAAACTTTTAGTGACATTTAATCTATTTTTGATGTAATGTAATTATGTAAATTATAAACAATTTTTTTACATAGATATTTACATTTACATTTACCCTACAGTTTTACTAACAATGGATATTTTATTCTATTTTGCATCGCATTTGAAAAATGTTTCTTTTTGATTTAGTAAGGGATTAAAAGAAAAAGGATTTAAAAAGGATTTTAAAAAAAGAGATTTAACATTGAAAATTAAAATTTTTAATTTAAAGTGATTCGTTTGGGAAATTCTGACCTGAAGCATTACAAAAAATTTAAATTACATATTTATAATAGATTAATGCATTTATTAATTCTTCATATCCCATTAATTGATTTTTCTTATTTTCCGATTCTGACTTTAAACCAAATTTTCCTTCAGATGAATGCTTCGAATTTCAGTTGATTCGAAAGTTGTTTTTTGTTCTCCAAGGAATTCTCTAATCCATTATTCATTAGTGAGACTTAATTCCCTTCGACCAGAAACCTGTTAAAACACAAATATAAATTACATAAACATTAATGGAAAATGGAAAACCGTTTATAGGGTATTCATTAAGAGTTCAATTAGAAAAAAAATGAATCAAAATTTTTAAAAATCGGTTCAATATAAACAGAGTTTTGCTGTCCGCTAGTTAAAAAAACGTCGTTTCAAGAGAAACGCGTTTCAACAAATAACTTTGAAAATTACAAATTTTTGCCAAAATTTGATATTAAAAAAATTGCAAGACATTTTTTACGTGCTTAAAATTGCTTTTCCTCATAGTGCGAATAAAAATTTTCTATTTTTGATTTAAAAGTTTGGAATTATATGATGATTTGTGATAAGAAAATGTAAGAACAAAAAGATTGATGTTTTTGTTAAAGAGTTTAAAATATGTTGTATTCCACGCGAACCAACTTATCATCAAAATTGACATTTCTAAATTGGGTCAAATTTTTTCACCTGTTCGTACTCCACGCAAAAGAGGTTTATGATTTTTTTCAAATTTTTCTGTTCAGCTGTTTAAGAGATATGAATTTTTCAAAATTTTAAATTTTTGAGAAAAACATTTTTTTGATTGATTATCACTTCTAAAAAAATAGATCAATTTTAATGCTACTAAAATGGAAATTTGTAGTTATTAGATCAACTTTTCAAAAATTTCTTGCAAAAAATTGTCAAAAATGTATTAACGGCTTATTTTGTTATTTTTGTGTGTTTAAATCTTATTTTTAAAGCTTTTTGTATCTGAAAAAATATAGTAAAAAAATATAGCAAAAATCATTTTCCCACAACGGAACTAGTCTTGCAATTTGATTAAAAAAAGTAGTTTTGTATAAAAATTATATAAAAATTGATGAATACAAACAACTTTAAAAATAAGAGTTTTATCTGTAAAATACAAAGAAGTGGTAAATAAATTTTCAATAATTTTTTGAATCAAATTTTTTAAAAGCTCATCTAAAAAGTAAAAACATTCATATTAGTAACATTTAAATTTACCACTTTTGTAGAAGTTATAAACAATCAAATAAATATTTTTCTTAAAAATTGTAAATTTTGAAAAATTTATATCTTCTATACGGTTGGATAAAAAAATTTGAAAAAAATCATGAGGCGTTTTTTTGTGGTGTGCAAAGAGGTAAAAAAAATTGAGCAAATTTAAAAATGTCAATTTTTATGATATGTTGATTTGGCATGGAATATCTCATATGCATGTGATCAAGTTGTTGATTATCATTTTCTGAAAAAAAATAAAAAATCATACTTTTTTACAATTTTTACATAGGTAATACAATGGTTATTTTGATCCCATAAAAATTGTATATAAATAATAATAAATGCCTCGTTTTTGAAAATTGAAATTTTCTTTTGAAGATAATTACTATTATATTAATTTCATATTTGAATTTTTTAATATCAATTAATTATTTCATCATGGATCTCTATATTTATGTAAGTAAACTTTATCAATTAAAAATATTGCATATTACCTTCAGCAGCCTTTTCATCACTAGGTCAGGCAATCTCTGTTGCTTCCTCGATGATTTTTCTGCTTGCCGTCTTTAATCAAATGGTGAATCTCAAAAAGTCGTTTCCCTCACAACAAAAGGATATTCAGGATATCCTTGGGACGTCCTGGGGATATCGATTTGTTTTCTGCGGTTTGGATATCCCTGGGATATCTTAGAGATGTCCATGGATATCCAGAGGATATCTTAGGGATATCCGAATCGCCAAAAGCAAATGGATATCCCCAGGACGTCCCAGGGATATCCTGAATATCCTTGTGTTGTGAGGGTTCTTGCAATAATTGTCATTAACAAAGTCATTGACATATTTCAGTGAAATAATTTTCCCAAGCACGGGATCGTCTTCTACTTTTAGAGCTAAAAAAAGAAAAAGATTATTTCAGATGAAAAATTGAATATTGACCTGATCCATATCAAATCATGCAGGCAGTCCGATGATAGATTCCGAATTGACTTGACAATGAAATATGTTATTCTACTTGAAAAATAAAGAAATACGTATTTTTTTATTTTTTGATACGATTTTTTTTGGACGTTTTACGAATATTTGAAGATTTTATGAAAAAATTCGATTTTTTTGCATTTTCATCTTTAAAATCGTATATCTTCCGTAAATTTCAACCATTTTTGTTCGTCTTGGACTCATTTTTTTCGTTTTTTTATATTCTTTCAAGAAAAAGGACGTAGAGAGAAAAATATTGAAAAATAAAGACAAAAATTCAATTTTTCGAAAAAACAAAAAAAAATTTTTTCTCGAAAAGGCCACCTTCTTTTTGCTCCAAATTTTCAGGAATAATTGGTACTCATGTGTACTACTTTCCATAAAAATTTCATTTGGTATTTTTTTGTTTCTTAAGAGAAAAAAAATTATTTCCAATTTTTCATTAAAAAATTTAAAATTCCGCAATTTTCAAGGTTTCTGGTTGTTCCTGGGCTTATTTCTTCACTTTTTAACATAATTAAAAAAGATCTTGTCAAAAATAAATTATGTTGGTAATTAGCAATATTATTTAAGAATTAAAAAACGAAAATAAAATGTTTAAAAAAATTTTCCTTTTTCTGCTACTATTTTATAATTATAATAACCATTTTTATAATTCTTAAGATTTATTTTATTAGGTATTGACCTATTCTGAAGACTATATCTATAAAAGAGAATATAATTTCTACATTTAATTTTCATCTAATTAAGCTTATCTAATTTTCATCTAATTTACTTTGTAATTTTGCATTCCTCATGAATAAAAGACTGTTGTTTTGATGTGTTTAATTAAAATCTTTTATTTAAAAATAATTTTTTATTCCTCAGGCACAAAAATGGCGCTTTCAGATATCAGCCGACAGGACGTAAACTCAATCATTTCTTTCTATCGGTTAGAGATGGCGCCCATGTTTTTCCTAGGACAATAATGACGCAGGTTGTCATAGTAACCATTGAGCTTTTTTGTCCTAGGACAAAAATGAACGCCATTTTGATACTTTTTTTCCCTGTCATTACTGTCCTAGGAAAAACATGGGCACCATCTCTAAACGATAGAAAGAAATGATTGAGGTTATGTCCTGTCGGCTGCTATCTGAAATCGCCAGTTTTGTGCCTTCGGAATAAAAAGTATTGTAAGCAACATGGAATAGAAGGCAGCCTATTAATGTACTTTGATTTTCGTGCTGCTAATTACCAACATAATTTATTTTTGACAAGATTTTTTTTAATTATGTTAAAAAGTGAAGAAATAAGCCCAGGAACAACCAGAAACCTTGAAAATTGCGGAATTTTAAATTTTTTAATGAAAAATTGGAAATAATTTTTTTTCTCTTAAGAAACAAAAAAATACCAAATGAAATTTTTATGGAAAGTAGTACACATGAGTACCAATTATTCCTGAAAATTTGGAGCAAAAAGAAGGTGGCCTTTTCGAGAAAAAATTTTTTTTTGGCATTTCTACATGGGCAGGAAAACCTTCAAGTTATAATTTATAACTTAATTTGGTTAAATTTTATTTTTTTTGTTCATTACGCCATTAAAGCAAGACGCATTTTAAAGTCAGATTCAATATCAGCAAAAGAAAATGTACAAAAATTAACTATCATATAATTTCATCCCTCATAACATCGAGATATTAAGGATATTCCTGGGACATCTTATAAATAATTATCGGCATTTGACAGTTTAGATATACCTGGATCAATAGATATATTCATAGGACATTCCAATAATATACATCATTATCACTGTTAAGAGGAATTACACAATTACAAGTATTCTCATCTCTTCACATATACACTACCGAATGAAAAGCAGTAACGAATTGAGAAATCGTTTGTTTCTTGTTGCACACAGTTTAGAAGAAGACAAAGCATTTCTCTACCCGCTACTGCTGAAAAAATAGTAAAAACTTAAATAAAATAGAAAAAGAAATATGTGAACTCAGGGTGTCTAACAGCTTCCAGAAAAAAAATTCCCTGACTTTTCCCTGACTTATATTACACTCAAACAAATTTATTTAAATATTTTGTTTATTATTTGTTTATTATTTATCCATAAAAAACATACGTATTTTAAATTAAATTATGAATTATAATTATAATTATAATTCGTTTTAATAAAATATTTTTTTGTCACCCTGAATTTTGAGTAATTAATCATTAAAATAACAAATTATTTGCATTAAGTAATTTAGTTTATTTAAATCATAAAAGTAAATTTATTGTATAAAATAATTTTTTAGTTTAAAAAAAAAATTATTTCACGAAATTAAAGTTCTTAACTTTCATGATCAATAATTTGAAAGAAAAATAATTTTTTTGAAAAATAATTTTTATAAATTACTTTTACCAACAATTATTTACAAATTTTGCTAAACAAAAAATTGTATTATTTTGCACTTGAAAAAAATATTAATTTTTCTTTTGAATCGTTGATGATAAACGTTGTGAATTTAAACTTCGTAAAATTTCAGTGAATTAATTATTTATTATTAATTATTTACTTGATAAATATATAAAAGTTACACATGCTTAAAATTTAAGTAAAAAATTGAAATTTTTAATTAGCATTTGTTTCAAGAAAAATAAAAAATTTTTTTAAAGAAAAACATAGTTATTTTAATTAATTAACAAAAAATTCCAGAAATTTTGAAAAATTCCCTGACTTTTCCCTGACAATTTAAATTCCCTGACTTTTCCCTGATTTCCCTGACTTCCCTGACCGTTAGACACCCTGAGTGAACATAAGTTGTAAACATATTTTTCAAATAACAATTTTTCACAAAATTAAAAAAGGAAACCTTGAGTGCCCATGGCAAGGATTTTTTGGTTGCCATTAATATTGATATTTAAATGGCTTATTGAGTTTAAAATTATTGTTATTTTAAAGTAAAATATATTGCATAAAAATTATTTTCAATAATTATGACCTGGACAATTAAAAGGTACTGAATCTATGAAAAAATATTTTTTATTGTTTAGCGATTCTGATAGAAAAAAGTTTTCTGCATCAGAATCACTAAACAATAAAAAAAATATTTTTTCAGACATAAAGTCCCTTTGAACTGGTCACAATTGTATTTGAACTAAATTTTACACATATTCTTAAACTGTAATTAATATTTTACAAATACTTTTCATCGGTAGAATAAAGAAGTAGATTTACCACTTGAAGATGCAGTATCTTTCTCAGACATGTGATCGACTTCCATTGCACTTCTAAAACTATTGTTTTGTATAATGAAACAGTCTGATTCTACCAGTTAAATTCCGCAGTTGTACATATATTATTAACGTCTCTTTGAAACAATTTGAAATATCTACGACAAAAAATTAAAAATTATTCATTGTCTTTCAATAATATCAATGTGTCTAGCGATTCGTTAATTAAAAATTTCCGGGGTTTTCCCGGTTTTTTCCCGGATAATCTAAATAAATAATACCGTATTTTTACATAGAATAATTTTTTCAAACAATATAAAAAGGCTTTAAAAATTTATTCATATTTATAAATAACATTATTTACTTAATCAGACACTTTTTTTATTAAATCACAATTAACAAAGTTAGGTGATACATTCCATGCCAAACCAACAAATCATCAAAATTGTCTTTTTTAATTTGGCTTAATTTTTTTACCTCCGAAAAAAGATAATTAAAAAAAAATTTTATTTAGCTGTTTAAGAGATATAGATTTTTCAAAATTTATTATTTTTAAGAAAAAATTTTTTCTGATTGCTCATAATTTATAAAAAATTGGATCAATTTGAATATTACTTATAAGAAAATTCCCATTTTTTAGGTGAACTTTTCAGAAACGTAATGCAAAAAATTAACAAAAAATTATTTACCATTTTTTTGTAATTTCATTTCAAAAATTGTTTATTTATTGATTTTTTAAAAATAATTTTTAAACAAAACTACTTCCATCTAATCAAATTATAAATCTTGTCCAGTCGTGAGTAAATGATGTTTACTATTTTTCCACATTTTGTAAAATTATTGAATTGGAAAGTATTAAATAAATGAATAATAAATAAATAAATGAATAAATAAATAAATAAATAAGTGGGGTATTAAATGAAAAAATACTCAATTTAAATAATTTAAAAAAATTATGAAAAAATAGTAAAAATCACCCAAGACAGGACAAGGTTTAAAAGTTTGCGTAAAAGAAAATAGTTTTGTTTAAAAATTATTTCAAAACAATCAAAGGATACAAACAATTTTAAAAATAAGATTTTAACCTACATGAATTACAAAAAATTTGGAAATTAAGTTTTTGGTAATTATTTGCTTCAAATTTTTGAAAAGTTTATCAGAAAATTGATATATCTCATACAAACGACTGGATAAGAAAATTTGAAAAGCTCATGAAGCTCTATTTTGTGTAGTTAAAAAAATGTTGAGACAAATTAAAAAAATCGATTTAAATTTGTTGGTTTGACGTGGCTTTTTTTCAAATCTGGAAATTTTCTATTCATTGGGTATTTTTTATGTTATGTATAAAAAAATTACAATTTTTTTCATATACATAATATGAAAATACCTTAAGAGTCGAAAATTAATTTTTTACATTTTATTTTTTCCCGATTTCCTGGGTCGCTAGACACATTCATAAATAAATAAATAAAACTTCAGTAATCTAAATCAACAATTAATAATTATTGCTTCTTTCTAATTTATATTTAGATAAATTATGTTTCAAATTATGCAATCAATGCAATTTAAGCTATTAGAGTATTTTATTGTAAAATAATGATAAGTATAGGTTATTATTATTTAATAATAAATAATAATTAAATTATTAAGTTATTAAATAATAATATTTAATATAGGTTATAATTATTTAAATACAAAATTTTTTTTACCTATTTAAATCGAGTAGAAAGAAATATCGACGAAAATAGAAATTACGAAATGAACGATTTTAAAGGAGCAAATTGGAATATTTTTTTATTGTTTATTTTTGTAAGATGAAATAAAATTTTTTAAATAATTCATTTTTTATCGGAAAGACAATTATTAAAAATTTTTCTCTTATCTAATGAAACAGTTTTCAGCAAGACAATCAATTTTTCTAATGGAAACTAAATTTTCAAAATTATCGATTGAAATGAGAAAAAATATTTCTATTCTCAAATCATTGAATTAAATAAAAAAACAAAAATAAAATGTTAGTTTTCGTATATTTACAAATTGAGATTAACTGTTTAGAAATATTTGACATTTTGAGGTTAAGCATCATTCAATATATTGTTGTGAATACAACTGAAAACACTCACAAAATTATGTAAACAAATCAGAATAATTTTCATTCATAATTTATGCAAAATTGAATAAAATTTATTTAAAATCTAATTTTTAATCGAAAAAATATTTTTTAGATATTAAAGAAAGTTTATTTTTTTTACTAATAATGAAATATAATTAGCAGTTATAATCAACTTAATCATACAATTAATTCTTTTGACCAGAATAGATGTAGATTATCCCAAAATTACGAAAAAATGACCCGCTTATTTATCGAGTATAAATTGAACGAATTAGGAAACTTTTTTCCAGCTCGCAGAATGTGCGTCTATAGGTTAAAATAGAAGGCAATGTTTGTAAAAATGGCAAACTTCGTACTTACCTAAAACATTTTCTGTCTGGACTCTCTTCCCCAATGTTCGCAGCAAATTGACGCACAACACGCAAACACGAAAAAAGCTATTATTAAAATTGAAACTTTATTAAGACGATTAAAACATTTTTACTGCGAGGTTAAAAACCATGCTGCGACGCGACGCGACGATACGAGAGAACACAACCGGATGCCGGAATCCACGCCACGATCTTGCAGCCAGCCAGCTAGTATAGTGATAGTAATTTTTTTCGCCACTGGGCGCTGTTATTCATTAGGAAACGAAAATTTACCGATGTGTCATTTATTTCTCAAAACAAATTAAAGTATTTTATTAACAATTATTAATAAACTTATTTTAGTTTTAGAATAAAATTTTGGGTTAAGTTAAAAAATAAATGAAAACTTTAAAAATGATAAAATATTAAAACCAGAAAAAACAAGACGTGACATCTAGCGTGTAATGCGTGCGGCAATTTTTTTATTTGTCATTATAGGTAAAGCAGTATTTTGCTTTAAAACAAACAATAAACTTTTAGTACAAAATGTACTATTTTTATTGTTAATATGCAATATTCAGAACAAAAAAACTTAAATCTGGACAATTTAAATATCCATTAAAAAATAGGTATATGATTTTTCCGTAATTTTCACATTTTCAATTCCAAAATTTAGGAAATAACACGAACATTAAAGTGACAGGTGAGCACCTTTTGACTTTTATTATTAATAATTAATTAATTAAAGCTTAATTTAAACAAACTATTGCATGAATAAACTCATAAATCATTCATTTATTCATTCCAATAGTTTTTTCCAGCAATTTTCACGTTTTTCGCTACTTTTTTCACTGGTAACTGAAACCCAACTGAATCCCAACCGAATTCGGTTGCGATTCGGTTTTCACAACCCGCCAGGGAAGTTAAAAATAAAAGTTAATGGAGGAGCAAGAACGGAAGCACAATCTTTTATAAGAAAACTAGAAACCTTATCCAACCCCGAGGTAAAAGAAGGTTTCAATGATTTGGCAGCCTTACACACTTGGTCTTTAGAAAGGATGAATGGTTAATCAACATTATATGTTAAGGAGGAGTGACACCTTTAACCCGAAAAAAATCGATTTTTTTGTTATCTTAAACGATCCTTTATGATGTGTAGAATAGAAATTATATCAGCAAAAGCAATTTTGAAGTTATTTTATGTAAAAAAAATCGAAATCTGCAGAAGGAGTCCAAGAACGCTTCGAGTGCTTGATAACGCTATTGGCTATTTTGTCTTTTACCGTGGTAACAATTGCGTACTTTTACGCTTACAGCCGCTCGAAAGGCTAAAGATGAAGCCAATATGAATGTAGAAGGCCAATTATATGGGGCAAGCATCGCAGATTAACGTTGATTTCATTTTTACATTCTCATCATAATGAGAAAGTATTACATTTGTTCGATTTTGACCAACCTCTAATTCATGTAAATCTCCACTTTTCAAGCCTTTCTGATGCCAAAAAAAGGTTTTAAAAAAATGTCTGTATGTATGTATGTAGACAAAAGTTTGCTCGACCATAACTTGAGCAAATTTTAATTAATCGACCTCAAATTTGGTATACACTTTAAGTGTACCAAAATTTCACGTGAGTTCGTTGGGCAGACAATTTCGTCAAAAACAACAAAATTATTCAAATTTATAATTTTCAAAAAAAAAATTTTTCAATTTTTTTTTTTTTTAAAATGTGAGTCAAATGAAACATTTTTCTCCTTCAACATTTTTTAATTGGAGTGAAAACAACAAAAATATACAATTTTTTTTAATTTTAAATTTCCAAAAATTTTTACACTTTAAGTGTATTATTAAAAAACGGGCGAAATAGTATTTCTTCTTCGTCTGTTTCAATTTCGCCCGTCACTAGCGAACTTATTCATTTTTCTTATTGCGCCCACGACGAGCGAAATAGATGACCCCACTGAAAATCACCACATAGGCTCCCATATGGGAAACCACATGGGTCCCTATATAGGAAGGCATATGGTTTCCTATACAAAATCGTATACGTAATTGGAACAGGAATTTAAATAGGAAATTAAGTCGGAATTATCATATGAATCCACATCCACACAGGAATGTACATTCCTATGTATATTCCTATTTCAATTCCTATAATATGAATTTTTTTTTAACTCTAAGATATATATCTTTCAATAGTAGAGGTTACTGATAGACTACAGAGATGAAAAAAATTTATTGCGCAGCCGAAAAAGTTGAAGAAAACTACTGTGCATGATATTAAGATATAATGTGCATTCATATGATAATTCCTACTTAATTTCCTATTCAAATTCCTGTTCCAATTACGTATACGATTTTGTATAGGAAACCATATGGCTTCCTATATAGGGACCCATGTGGTTTCCCATATGGGAGCCTATGTGGGGATTTTCAGTAGGGGAATGTTGTAGACAGGCGAGTATATTATTTTGTCCCTCAATTTGCTTTTATTTAAATTTCAATAAACATTTGTTACGTACATTTTTACCCGAAGGTAAAAAATCACATGCGCCAGCTGTTAGTTTGTACTGTAAAGAAAAAATAAACTTTAATTTCAAACAGAAAAATAAATTTTTTTGAGATATCAGAGTGGTTTCCAATGTATTTTTGTGTGCTGAACTCGATCTAGAGTTCCAATATTGCGTACGACGTCAGTATTTACATGAAAGTGGGGGTAAAGTCTTAAAAAACTGTGTCTTTTATGGTTTTCAGTATTTTTTCTCCTTAACTGGACGTAATACACTTTTATATAGGTTTAAATAAATTTTTATATCTTACACTTTAAGACTCTTATGCGTAAGATAAAAAAATTTTGAAATTTTGAAACAAGTTAATTTCAAGTCACCCGAAAAGTTTAAACTTTAAATTAAGCCTATATAAAAGTCTCTAGCACGTCAGGTTAAGGTAAAAAATACTGAAAACACTTACCTTAAAAACACGGTTTTTGGGGTATTTACCCCTATTGTTTTAAAATTTCAAATTTTTTTAATCTTGCATATGAGAGATTCTTTTTCAATCGTCCCAGCCCAAAAAGTCAATGTTATGGGATTGGCTTCATACTTTGGTAAATTGTTGTCCTATATGATAGTAATAAATCCCTAAAATATAAACTCATTGAAAAAATATTTGTAGAAAGTAGAGGGGGTTGAAGTTTTGACGTTAAGGGTAACATTGTCATTTTCAAATCCGTATAACTATGACAAAAGTTAATGGATTTTAATTTACCTATAATGAATTTTAATGCATTTTTCACGTACTTTTCAAAAATGTATACGAAATTAAAAAAAAAAAAATTCACCCCTTTTTTTCAAAATCAACCCTTATTTTTCGATTTTCACCCCTTCGGGTATTTTTTTTTTATTTTCATTGGAAAGCTGAGGTTTTTTCCCATGAGCTATGTAAATATGAAAGTGGGACAACAATAATTTTGTGGGAACATAATATTAAAGTAGGCGGTGCCTATCTAAATCGTCGAAGATGATTTCTAGGTATACACGGAAAGAAATTTAGTAGCAATATTTGATAAATCTGATAGGAAATTTTAGTATTCTCTTTTTCAAACGCGGAACATTTGGGTTTGATAACGAAAATCGGTATATTTTTACCAATAGTCTTTTTAGTAAATATATTCCAGAAATTGAAATTATTATTTCGTAAATTGATAAATTTATACGAAAAACCAGAAATAAGTTAAACCGACGCGCACTTCGTTATTTACTAAATTTATATGAAAATTTGGAAAGATTATTTCGAAATTTGTTAAAACTATACTAAAAATTCGAAGTGGTTCAGTCGTGACAGATGACGACAGAAACACCAACAGATTCTACGCCAAAGTTTTATCTCTTTCTCATCTCAAGGATAGACGAGGATATGAACTTTTAAATGCACACACACACACATACACCGCAATGTTTTACATCGATTGGCTTATTTATATTCCTAACCTATACTAACGATAATACGTATAACATTCGCAGAATAACGCTTCATATACAAATTTACGCTCATGTGAAAAACTGATGTGACCATTCTTATATACTAACCAGACATATTTTTCACCGCTTATGAGAAAGGTGAAATTATATCAAAACATGTTTAAAAATATAAATAAAAATCATTATTTATTGGGAAATAATTAAATATTTTATTATTTTTTGAAGAACAATTTTTTTTACTGATTTATTGTAAAATATTCGAAATTAATTATATAAAAGAAATTCAGGTCTGTATCAAGATAATGGTAAAAAGGGGCTTCGTCAGTCTTCGTTACCACTCGGTGAGGATCGGGCAATTCCGAACGTTCAACTTCGGCAAATTTCGTCGAATCTCGTTAACTTTGATATTTCTTTTTCAATTTTCATATCAAATATATCAAAATCTGAAATAATTATATCATTTTATACAATTCTAATTACGAAATTTGAAATATTTGGTTAGAAAAATTGATAAAGAGATTATTAAAATTTGACATTTTTGTGTTTCAATTTAACTTTGATATTTCTTTTTCAATTTTCATATCAAATATATCAAAATCTGAAATAATTATATCATTTTATACAATTCTAATTACGAAATTTGAAATATTTGGTTAGAAAAATTGATAAAGAGATTATTAAAATTTGACATTTTTGTGTTTCAATAAAAAGATTTCAGATTTCGTAAATATTATATCAAATTTTCTTTCCAACTATATTAAATATTCTTATTTTAATCTCAATCATTCTTAAAAATAGTATCGAAAATCGTTATCATGCCAAAATGTTCCGCATTTGTAACCAAATATACTAAAAAGTAACACCATAATATCAAATATTGCTACAAACTTTCTTTCCGTGTACCCGTTATCAGCGACCTTGTTGTCCAAGTGTTAAGGATATTTTCTCAAACCTTAAATATGAATGCCAAAACCATTAAAAAAAAATTCGAGATAAATTCTCGGCGATGATCCTAAATTATACTAATCATCGGCAACCTGGTTCTGTAGGTAAAAAATTACCATGGATTATTGTGCGGTTGTTAGTTCTGAATGTACATAAAATATTTCAGTCCTCTAGGATATCAGCAAATCGTTTAAATTAAAATTTCATATTTTGACTTTTGCAAAACAAATTGTTTATAACAATAAGACTGGTATTAAAAAAAATTTTTAACCTAAAAAATCGTG